TTATTATTATTATTATTATTATTATTATTATTATTATTATTATTATTATTATTCCACGATTGTATCGAAATCTAAAAATTTGAAACATTTTTGGCTGTAAGTTATCGAAAAGACGAAATACAACAGTTCCAAGGTTATGAGGTGACAGGATATATATTTGTGTAGGGAATCTCTGTAATTTACAGGTGTTATTTTCATAAATAAATACTTAGAAAACCATAACAAGTATTGCACATCTTACTCTGCACTCGAGCAACACTTACGCTTCTTTCTTGCTCCTCTAACTCCTCCGTACATCTCCTAAAGCCTGGTTTTCACTAGCAACGCAACCACAAGCGCAGGCACAAACGCAAGCAATAAGGATGACCCAGGTCAAAACGAAATTCGACGCAAACACAAGCACGAGCAAAATCGTCCGAATCTTGGGCCATTTGGGAAAACTGTTTAGGCGAGAGGTAATTTCATTGGGCAAACAACCGCGTGTGGTAAATATCCTTGTGCCTGTGTTATGCCTGAGCGGTATTTCGTTTTCACTTGTAGCAGCGCAACCGCAAGCATTAGCGGAAGCACAAGAACATAGGCACGCAAGGCGTGCAAGAGTTTTTTTTTTTTTCAAAGTGTCGGAGATAGGAGCATTCATGGAGCTGTTTACTGTAATGATTTGGTTAATTTGACGAGTTTTTTGGTTGCGATGTACAGTAGGAAAGAAACTGGGAATTTATGATGTACATGCGATGTTACATCGGTCATTGTGAGATAGCTAAGTGGTAAACCATAAAATGTTTGACTGAACAAACTACAGTAATCCGACACGTCTCCAGATTAATGTAGATACCATCTTATTTCCTAACAAGCAATTTGATTCGTTCTTTGATACAAACCACACTGTGATTGGTGTGACACGCGCACATGCATAACTTCCTCACTCACCGATCACATAGCCCTTTCAACCCCCAAGAGGAATTTTCGCTCAAAATACTCAAGTTAATTAAGAGACCTTTTCGCATTTTATACGAGTTGTAAGTTTACCCTTTTTACACAACACAACACCACTTCACCGAAAATAGAAAGGAAGAGAAAAAAAACCTCTCTGACACTTTGAAAGCCTGATTTAATTAAATTGCACTTTAACTTGGTACCACGCAGTCTTCAAAGAACATTTGAGCAATTTTCATACTTTTTACCTTTAAAAATATCGGACTGAAATGAATGTCATCAAAAAAAACTATTAAACTGCTACTGCAGAGACGTAAAAACCGTCCAAAAATAATAGCTTTTCTTTTGTTTAATATCCTGGAAACAATAACCGATAACTTGTCAGCTCTAATTGAATTTACTCCCATATAAAAAACAAAAGTGTTAAGTTACCATTTGTNTGCATGCAACAAGAACAAAACAATCGTTACCTGCACTTACTATTGTAAACGTTAGAACTGTTTCAAATCTAAATAGTCTCGTCTCCTCTAAAACGTGTCCTAAGAACTAGAAGCGACGATTCGTGACCTCTAATTGAATTTACTCCCAGTGAAAAACAAAAGTATCAAGTTACCTTTGTAACTAAAAATGAAAATATCTCGTTCCATTTGCATACTACTAACTCACGAACTGTTTCAAACCTCCAGGCTCATCTCGTTCATAATTAAAATCCTCAGCCTAACCCACAGAAAATGTCGAAGTAAACCCAATATATGAATACTTCCTTCCTCTTTTATAGAAGAATAAATATGGCCGTTCTGAACTTTATCGGGATCAGATCTTCTCACATACCATTTACCTTTACAACAAGAAATTTGACTGGCTGTTTATAGTAGACCCAATCTGATTGGTGTGACATACATACATCTCTCACTCACTCACTCATCCATTAACCCGTCCATAACAAACCCGACGCGACGACTAAGAGGTACTTTCTTTACAAAAAAAATAACTCAATAAAGTGACTTAAAGCTCCGAGGCTCCGAGCGATTTTCCTAATTTCGGTTCCAAACTTCGCACAAGCAGACGGCGCGCGTATTAAAAACTCAAAATATTAGGGAGTTTACGAAACCACGACGGCAACGGCAACGGGAACGTCACTGAACAAAAGAATTAATGAGCAGTACAATGGCTGTGCACGTGCGTTATAATTCTTAGTACATTTCTTTGCCATCCTCTGCAAAACAATAACTTGAAATGGCCAAATTTTGCGTTGTCCGGAGAACGTGAATCACGACGGCTAATTTTTTAAATTTTTATTTCAAATTTATCGCTGTGTTTCGGATTTAGTTTTGCGATAGTTCTGACAGTGATAAACATAGTAAATGGCTTTAGAGTATCGCGAGATTCGTAGGTAAAATATAAATTCATTTTTAATCGACGTTGTCCTCGGCGTCGGCGTCGTGGTTTCGTAAACTCCCTAATGGCACACAAAACACAAGGTTGGGCCAATCTATTATTCATATTCTAAACGGATGTTAGGGCTCCCTGTGGTTCTTATTGCCGTTGCCGTCATGGCTTGAAACAATTCAGTTCCGCGATTTCCTACTCGAAAAATGTATTCTGTATCACTAAAAGTGCTGAAGCAGCAATTTTCAAAAATGGCGGATGCTGGTGACATTGAAGTGTCTGAGCGTTCTTCCTTAACTCCTGCTAATGCTAGAAAATTTTGAAACTTTTTGCCTCAGTGATTCAAAATTGATGTATTCTTAAGACAAAAATAAGAGATATTTGGGGTTTTTTCAAGATATTAAAAAAAAATTATGTGATATTTTGAAGATTTTTTGAGAATTTCGGGAAAGACATCTAGGTTAGGCGATTTTTTTAAAGGCCTACTGAGTGGAGTAAACAACTTATCGGCGCGTGAATAGCCTGCAGAGCAGGCGAGATTTTTTCGAGCGAGCGCTCACATCGTAAAAAGTTTAGCCGCCATCTTGAATTTTTCATGCAGTGGAAGACTGGGGAGAGAAAGAAAGTTTTACCAAGGGTGTGAATGATAGGCAAGAGGAAGGATAGGGGAGGGATGGAGCGAAGAAAATCTCATTTTCCCCTCCCCCATCCCCCACCGTCTAACATGGCGGTCTAAAAAGGCGGTCGCAAGGTTGTAACGCTAACTCGCCCCAATAAGACGCCTGCACTGCAGGCTAGCGCGTGAAAGGCTGACATTTTCTCTTTCAATCAGAAATTATACCGAAAGACCTTAAACCCAAAGATAACTTCAACGGAGGTGCTTTAATTGTCAAAACAGTTCTTATCGACGAATCTTCGCGAGATTCATTCCTCAGCAAGCAAACATCCTCCTTCCTCCCGCACACCATCTTCAATTCTCATGTACTAATTACTTCCTACACGTGTAACCGTTATGTAAATTATCACCGCGAGGAAGCCGTATTTCGTTTTGTCTAAATTAGTTGGGTATTTCGAAAGCTAAAAAAGGTAATAATAAAGCACTGGTCTAGAGATATTCTTGCCAAAATGGAAAATGGAATGGAGCCGGTATCAATATCCCAGCTTAAACAATTTTTCAAAAACGAAAATCAGTACGTACCAGACTTACTCGCCATTCGGGCGATGAATGGTCTAACTATGGTGATTTGTACTCCGGCGCCCGACGCTTTTCACGCTCGCATTGGCGAGCGGGCGAGCGCTAATTTCCAACACTGTGACAACTAACTGTTTTATTAACGTTTATCAAAAAATCTTTTTCCTTAAATAACTTGCGCGCGTTTCAAGATTTTACTTTCATTTCTTGGGAAATGTTGAATTTTATAGCGACCTTTTTGTTTTGCTTGAAAAGACTGAATTTGACAAAAGTAACACTCTCCGAACTGAGTTATTGTATAACTTTAAGACGGGAGACATGCATCAGTTGAGTTTTAAAGCTATACTTTACTCGTGAAAAACTATAGATATGATTCCTTTGCCATTATCCCGCCCCATCTCGACCATCTTGTGAGCGTCAGAAATCAGAGAACGCTAACATCTACAACTACATCTACATTGTTATTTGTCAAAGGTTGCCCATCCCGCCACGGAGTGCTGGTGCAGGTATATGTGATCAAGTTAATAAAGAGCAAAGTAACACTGTGCTTTGCATGGTGCTCTTACTGTACCAGAAAAAAAAAAGATTGTCAAATGTTAAAATGTGCCCGGAGGGCTAGTCTGAAAGTCTCTGGTTTACCGGTAATCGGGCGCCGGCTATTTTTGCTTCCGCCCAGCCGAGTTGCACTGTGGGTAGACGGCTCGTGTTTGTCATGTGACTTCGACTTAACATCACAGTTTTTGCGGAACTTTGGTCCTTTTGCAACTGCATCGTGTTCTGACATCCTCAAGGGTTTAGAAAAGTGAAAAGGTTCAAGATGTTGAAGACTTTTGTGCTCCTCTTTTGCTTGAGTGTTACTCTGGGTGAGTACTTTTTTGTCTGGCACAGTTTTATGTCGGGTATTTCTTCACTAGCATTGCACCACCGAGGTTTTCTTTCGCTAAGCATCGGCTCTAGGCATGCTAATGAAAAGCGCCTTCAACAGATGGAGTCTGTTTTGAACCTAAGAGTTCTTATCATCGTAAGATTCGTTACTTCTCTTTAAGATCGTTGCTTTTTTGTGCTAGCTCTTGAGTGCTCCACAATATCTATAATAGTGTGCCTTGATATGTTAATTCTGCCAGTACGTAGTGTCGATGGTTGCGCCAAAATGTCGAAGATTGCTGAAACTGCGATTGAATGTTAACGTGAAGTTTTTCTTTTATGCTTTCTCTTTGCCTCTTTGCAGTTGTCTCTGTCTTGCGTTGAGAATTAATTGAACGTGGTTAGATAAAAAACCCGTCTTGTACTGTGTGCTGAAATAGCCAAAGCGTGCAAATGTGAAACCGTACTTTCCGCATACATACGCTTTACCAGTCATTCGAATAACTTGTGACCATTGTGAGTCGTGACTGAAAGAAAGTTTCTTAACAAATCGGGTGTTTGCGTCATCTTAATCCTTAGACAAATAATTCGCAATTTGTTATTTATCACGCTTGAGACAACAAAGCATTTTAGTACAAGGAAATTGTGTTCCCTGGCATTGTGTGCAACATTTTTGGATCACATCAGACACCATGGTTTAGGATTCATGAAGTGAAGGATTACATGTTTAGTGGTTTCCAGTAAAGGCTATAAAGAATGAAATCCTTAGCTGCAGATCAATGGTATGACTTCTGTACGCCCTATTTGTAATTATGTAAGCATTTTCTTTTGTACTAAACGGTGTCATGCATGAACTGTTGTCACAATTATTTTTCATGCATGGACTATCGTCACAAATATAGCAATTTTTACAAAACTTCATTCGAGTATTGGGTTACATGGCCTTGAAAATTGAGGGAACTAGTAAGGTGGCATCTTGTGGGGCATCTAAATTGTCCAGATATAGTCTTAACCTCAGGGCCAACTTTTCTTCTGGTCAGAATCAACAATGCAGATAATGTTCATGTATTAGACTTGCCCAGAGTCCACTTGCTGGGTGCCAGCTGAAGTAAAATTGGGTGTCTTGGAACGGAAAGACAGAACGGAAAGACAGCTACTTCTCATAAAGAAGTAGCTGTAATAATTATGAATGCACTGAATGCAAATATGGAGGACTGCTTATTCGGCACCTGGAACAAATCACATGAAAGAGAGGCTTGTTAGGCTTTGATGTTTTGTTTTCACAATGCTTCCAAAGAAAAGTTTTGCGTCATTGTCGATTTGGTCTGTTTTGTTTTGCCCTCGCAGTAAGTTTTTACATTCCTGAATGCCACCAGAAGGGACTGAAATCTTCCACAGCAGAGAAAGTGTTTTTTTCCATTCCCTGTGTTGTTTTCACAATGCTTTCCAAGAAAAGTTTTGCTTCATTGTCGATTTGGTCTGTTTTGTTTCGCCCTTCCAATGAGTTTTGCATTCCTGAATGCCATCAGAAGGGAGTGAAATCTTCCACAGCAGAGAAAGTGTTTTTTCCATTCCCTGTTCGCCTCTCAGGGAAAAACAGACGAAGGAAAGGAGTTCATGATCACCAAAGGAACTGTTTAAATTTGTTTGCTACATTTCAGGCTGGAAGATGTTAGAAAAAGCATAAGCGACTGCATTTAGCTCCAGGTTGTTGTCATTTGGCTCAATGCTTTCACTGGTTACAATGATGGGGGCAGTTGAAGTTCATTCACTTGGTTATTACACCATAGTATTTGTTTTGTGCAATTCCCTGTGAGTGGATGCAGATGTAATCAAATTCTTCTTTTGAGACAGAGGATGTCTTTCAAGGGAAGCTTTTCTTTAAGTAAACTGTGAAGTCCATCCAGTTGAAAGGACAGGTTACAAGCAATAATAAAGTTGATCAGTAACTTGAATTCAGGGTAGTTTGCTTACCAATCTGGGCTGTTTGAAAGCCAGTTAATGCTAATCTGGGATTAAAAGTTAACCGAAGCATTAATTATTCTTGTATAGAAACATTAAAATTTCTATGCCTAAATTTTGTGTAGTTTGAGATTAATCAAACTCACGGCTGAAGAACAAACACTGTTTAAACATAAAACTTAACCAAAAAGTTACAAAACTGAAATCAGAATTCTCACTAATCCTGGGTTAGCTTAATCAGGCTTTTAGCAACTCTGCCCTGAGAGTTTATTTAAGAGAAACTGTTGGAACGTTTTTAGTAGTCATAACTTACACAGAGCCGCTGTTGATACCAGCCACCCTGCCTAAATAAAGTTTGACTTGACTTGACTTGGATGTTAATGTACAATCTTGGCAAAACTCTGTTCACCAGGCACCTGTATTGAAGGAGACACCAGGAATGGTTCTGATGATGTCTTCTTTATAATGGCTTGATGGTAATTATTGTTTTTTTCTGTTGTGTCCTAAGGTGTAGGTTACAGTGCTAGTAATGGAACAACCACTGCTACACCAACTACCACACCAAAGCCAACTAAAGGTAATACAACCACTGCTAAACCAACTACCACACCAAAGCCGACTACAGGTAATGCAACCACTGCTAAACCAACTACCACACCAAAGCCAACTAAAGGTAATACAACCACTGCTAAACCAACTACCACACCAAAGCCAACTACAGGTAATACAACCACTGCTAAACCAACTACAGGTAATAKAACCACTGCTAAACCAACTACTGMGTCAACTTCAACTCRYCKAAGCACCACAGCGAAAACAACAACYGCTTCACCAACTACCCTTCCACCTSKTGGAASCTTCAGTCTTKAAGWCAACAAWASCAAGGAATACTGTTTGCTTGCGCAGTTTGCAGTTACTTTCACAATTAATTACATGGCYAATGTCTCCAAAGATAACAGTTCCAAAATTGAGGTATGTAGAAAATTCAAAGATTTAAATGAATAAATTTGTTAGTTTAAGGGACAGTGCCCTGGATGATTATCAAAAGTTCTCTTAGGGATTAACTGAAGGAAAAGATTCTAGAGAGCAAAATAAAACAAGCATCTTTTGGAGAAGTATGTACAGGATTACAAGGATTACTGTTCATGATGTTTGATTTTTTGACAGGTCAAAATTAGTGGTCATTATGTTTGATTTTTTGACAGGTCAAGAAATCAAATGCACTATTCTGATGAAATTTTGAATTTTTCAGTCATTATTATTTATGTATCTGGTTGATGTTTCTTTGCTTTCATAGTGTTTTTTTAGCATTTTTTTTTCTGATTTCTGATAGTGAACTGAAGAATGTTTTTGCCTGCTTCTGGCCTTGCTTTGTACAATATGATATATCAGTCAGAATCCCTTAATATACAGCACAGTCTAGATCCACTAGTCAGAATTTATATTTTCAGAAAGGCAGTTGCTCTGTAAATCCTGCTAAACTGGTGCTGTTTGTGTTCCTTTTCTTGCTTATTTTTGGCTTCTAGGAAAAAACCGCAACCATCTTCCTTAACAGAACTAATAGCCACAATGTTACCATTGGTGGAGACTGTGGTTCAATCAACAATGATGCCAAGCTGATACTTTCTTGGCCGAGTAAATCGTATTACACCCTGACCATGGTATTTAGTGAGAAGGCAAAAGCACTGGAAGCGAAATCAAACAGCAGCGAATGGAAGGTGGAAATGATCACTTTAAATGTCACTCTAGAGAGTAATCCAAACTTCCCAAATGCTACAGGTAAAACATATACTTATTAGTTGTGCAGCTTTTGGTTAAAATGTATTGCTGAGCCTACAATTTACCGTGTGGCACTAAATTTTTGCAGGAGTTTATGTTTATGAATCAGGGATTTTTTTATTTTGCGGAAACTAATTTTAGCAATTGTAAAGGACTAGTTTTTCTTACCGGGTACTAATTTTTTGCGATTTTCAAGAAGTTGCATTTAATTGAAAATAGTAAAACAACATGTAGAGATGTTAAAGACAGTAATCCAGTAATCAGTGTCATTCTGTCACAATTACATCGTGTTGGTGTGTGGCTGATTGCTCCAGCAATGAATCAGTAATAACATTTCATCATTTTGTTTCCGAACAAAAGAGGCGTTGTAAATCATTGGTAGCAAGAAGGTTCTTTGTGTGATGTTTTTATGTATAATTCTTTTTTATAACTTCTTTTGGCAGATCATGCAACAATTAGAACCGGCAAAAATTTATTGCCACATGGTGTACCGAAAAATCCCATGTGAAAGCCCCCCCCCACTATAAGCCCTTCTATTTGCTAACAAAGATATTATACCAGATATAAGCCCCTCTGAATATAAGCCCATCCAATGCGTAAGTGTGCTCCTTTTGCGTTTCTTAACAAAGATCAAAATTTTTAATCTATAGTTATTTGATAACAGGGTTAAGCTCTTATTAACGGAGCTGGAGGTCAAGATTCTCCCATACAGACCGACTTAGCT